TTTTGGGTGGTGGTTATCTGGGGGTGGTGGTTATCTAGGGGTAGTGGTTATCTGGGGGTGGTGGTTATCTGAGGGTGTAAGTTATCTGGGTCAGATAAGCCCAAAGTATCTCGATATCCGAAGATCCAGTTATCTCAATATTATTGATATTCTTAATATTCTCGATATCCTTGATATTCTTGACATTCTGAATATTCTTGATATTCTTGATAAATATCAAGAATATCAAGAATATTAAGAATCAGAATATTCTGATTCTTAATATTCTTGATATTCCTGATATTCCCGATATTCTTGATATTCTGAATATTCTTGATAATCAAAACAATCACAATATCAAGGATCTTCAAAATATCAAGAATATCAGGAATATCAAGAATATCAGGAATATCAAGAATATCAGGAATATCAAGAATATCAGGAATATCAGGAATATCAGAAATATCAGGAATATCAAGAATATTCAGAATATCAGGAATATCGAGAATATCAGGAATATCAAGAATATCAAGAATATCAAGAATATCGGGAATATCAAGAATATTCAGAATATTAGGAATATCAAGAATATCAGGACAAGCCAAGTAATTTAGGTTTGCATACATTTGGCTGAATGAATTTAATTGCACTGCTTGATATTCTTGATATTCTTGATATTCCTGATATTCTTAATATTCTTGATATTCCTGATATTCCCGATATTCTTGATATTCTGAATATTCTTGATAATCAAAACAATCACAATATCAAGGATCTTCAAAATATCAAGAATATCAGGAATATCAAGAATATCAGGAATATCAAGAATATCAGGAATATCAAGAATATCAGGAATATCAGGAATATCAGAAATATCAGGAATATCAAGAATATTCAGAATATCAGGAATATCGAGAATATCAGGAATATCAAGAATATCAAGAATATCAAGAATATCGGGAATATCAAGAATATTCAGAATATTAGGAATATCAAGAATATCAGGACAAGCCAAGTAATTTAGGTTTGCATACATTTGGCTGAATGAATTTAATTGCACTGCTTGATATTCTTGATATTCTTGATATTCCTGATATTCTTAATATTCTTGATATTCCTGATATTCCTGATATTCTTGATATTCTGAATATTCTTGATAATCAAAACAATCACAATATCAAGGATCTTCAAAATATCTAGAATATCAGGAATATCAAGAATATCTATATTATAAGCGAGAATGTCTGTTGGCAACGGAAGTTTGTCCGTCCTAAAATTCTGTTCGTGACGGAAGTGAAAGTAGAGAAAGTCTAGGCGTAACCTTATCTAGGCGTGGTGGTTATCTGGGGGTCTTGGTTATCTGGAGGTGTTGGTTATCTGGGGGTGGTGGTTATCTTTGTTTGGTAAGCCCCCAATACCTCGATATCCGAATATCCAGGTATCTCAATATTCCTGATATTCTTAATATTCTTGGTATTCCTGATATTCTTGATATTCTAAATATCCATAATATCCATAATATTTTTTATATCGAGAATATCAGAATATCGAGAATATCAGGAATATCCAGCATATCAGGAATATCAAGAACATCAGGAATATCAAGGATATCAGGAACACAAGGAATATCAGGAATATCAAGAATATTAGGAGTATTAGGAATATCAGGAATATCAGGAATATCAGGAATATCAAGAATATTAGGAGTATTAGGAATATCAAGAATATCAGGAATGTCAAGAATATCAAGAATGTCAAGAATATCAAGAATATCAGGAATATTAGGAATGTCAAGAATATCAGGAATATCAGGAATATCAAGAATAATAGGAGTATTAGGAATATCAAGAATATCAGGAATATCAAGACTATCAAGAATATCAGGAATATCAAGAATATCTATATTATAAGCGAGAATGTCTATTGGTAACGGAAGTGAAAGTAAATCTGTCCGTCCTAAAATTACGTTCGTGACGGAAGTGAAAGTAGGGAAAGTCTTGAGCGTGGCCATATGATTATCTGCTGTTGTTGGTTATCTGGGGGTGTTAGTTATCTGGGGGTGTTAGTTATCTGGTACTGTTGGTTGTCTGGGGGTGCTGGTTACGTAGGGGTTGTGGTTATCTGGGGGTAGTGGTTATCTGGGGGTAGTGGTTATCTGGGGGTAGTGGCTATCTGGGTAAAGTAAGCCCCCAATACCTCGATATCCGAATATCCAGGTATCCCAATATTCTTGATATTCCTGATATCCTTAACATTCTTGATATTCCTGATATTCTTAATATTCTTGATATTCCTGATATTCTTGATATTCCTGATATTCTTAATATTCTTGGTATTACTGATATTCTTAATATTCTTAATATTCCTGATATTCTTAATATTCTTGGTATTCCTGATATTCTTAATATTCTTAATATTCCTGATATTCTTAATATTCTTGATATTCCTGATATTCTAGGTATTACTGATATTCTTAATATTCTTAATATTCCTGATATTCTTAATATTCTTGGTATTCCTGATATTCTTAATATTCTTAATATTCCTGATATTCTTAATATTCTTGATATTCCTGATATTCTAGGTATTACTGATATTCTTAATATTCTTAATATTCCTGATATTCTTAATATTCTTGGTATTCCTGATATTCTAGGTATTATTGATATTCTTAATATTCTTAATATTCCTGATATTCTTAATATTCTTGGTATTCCTGATATTCTAGGTATTACTGATATTCTTAATATTCTTAATATTCCTGATATTCTTAATATTCTTGGTATTCCTGATATTCTTAATATTCTTGGTATTCCTGATATTCTTAATATTCTTGATACTCTTGATATTCTGAATATCAAGAATACCAGGAATATCAAGAATATTCAGAATATCAGGAATACCAAGAATATTCAGAATATTCAGAATGGTTATATATACGAGAATATTGTGATTATTAAGAATATCGAGATCGAGAATATCAAGTGTCGAGGATATAGAGAATGTCGTAAATCATGGGAAATTTTGTATGCTCTTGACGTTTTCGATTTACTCGACCGAGACTATTAAGAACAATCAGAATATTTAGAAGATTAGGAATAATCTCAATATTCTGAATATCTACGTATATCATGTTAGCAACGGAGGTTAAACTAAATTTGTGTGGCACGATTTTTTTTCTGTGACAAGAATTTTTCCGTTGTACAAGTGAATGTAGGGAAAATAAAGTTTCTATTGGCCCCTAAATTCAAAATAAATTGGGTTCAAAACACTGAATTTGGAGATGGGGCGTGTAAAAGTTTTGTACGCTGGTTGTACATAACGGCCTGGTAAGTTTACTAGGCGCGTTTTGGTGAATTCTGTGGGCAGATATGTTTACTGGGCTGAGCGCTTACTGGGCTGATGCGTTTGCTGGGCTATGCTCTTATTAGGCCTTGGCGGTTACTGGGCTATGCGTTTACTGGACTGATGCGTTTACTTGGCTGGTGCGCTTACTGGGCTGGTGCGCTTACTGGGCTGGTGCGTTTACTTGGCTATGCGTTTACTTGGCTGGTGCGTTTATTGGGCTGGTGCGCTTACTGGGCTTTGCGTTTACTGGGCTATGCGTTTATTGGGCCAGTGTTTTTATTTGGCTGGTACAGTAACTAGGACAGTATAAGAGTTTGCTTAAACGATTACCACCATCATGAATATTTCTAGATGTGCTATGATAATTTCGCAAATTATCTTAATTTAATTTACTTTTGTTAATTTTGCTTTGTTAACCTTACTCCGTTGCGGACAGACATTCGAGGTGTCAAATTTATCGCCCGACGGAAGTCGGGCTTATACGCTAGTATAATATGTAGCTCATCCTGCCACAGACAACATTACTAAATAAATTTATTACGAGTTCAATCTATTTCAATTTAAACGAACATGATTGCATGTCCAGATTTTAGCTGTTGTTGCAAATAATGCGATGTGCATAACGTATATGTGTCATTCTTGAGGGGGCGAGGGTCACAAGATTTGCACACCAACCCCACTTCATTCCATGCATTTGAACGAATTGTTTTCTTTGTTCAACACTTTGACAATAGGCGTACAAATGTAGATGGCATGTGCAGATACTTATCGTTTGATTGCATAGTTCGTGTTTTAAAAAAACAATAAAATTCGCAGAATTTTGCGACTACTTTTATTATATTTAGTATTTGCGGATACTACGGCATTACTCAGTATGAATAGTTGTTATAAGTTTAGCAGTGGTAAGGATTGTTGTTTTAAATTGATATGCAAAAAATTCTCGGAAATTGTGTTGTTTGATTTGTCATAATTGAATTGATGCAAATATATGTATAGATATTCTTACACGTATGCTGTTTGTATGTATGTTTATGTATATAATCCATAGCACGCAATAATTAATTTCATAGACGATACAGTATAGGATTTATTACTATGTATTTATGTCTGCCTATGTTCGTGAGACCAATCTTACGTGCATTCTTTTATGTGGGCATGTAATAAAAAAAATTGCCAAATTGTCCAAACAATCAATCAATGAAAAAATATCACCTTGTTCATCCCCTAACTTCAACCATGCAAAATTAATAATAAAAGCCTAGAAAATGTGTGTGCGGATAAGTACCTAATAAGATGACCAAAATTATTCACACGCAGTTGAAACACGCTATTTCATATAGTTCTCTACAAGCTTGTACTCACATTCGTAGATATTTTAGCATTTTCACTGATTAAGGATCACGGAAAAATGGGTTTGACGCGTAATGAAGAAATGACTGGTTCTGGGATTTCTCCAAATGTACAGTCGCCGATAAACAGGCAAATGAGTAGGGAATCATGCAAGAGGATTACCAAGTAAAGTAAACAAATATTAATGCCTTATCAGTTATTTGCCAACAAAAGCTACACAATAAAGCAAAGAATTTGACGTCAAAAGCGATAACATGAGACTTACATTATCATCCATATCAGAACACGTACTTACGAATATACACATGGTTCCATTTATTTTGGCATCCCACACTCGACTAATTTTCTCCATCGTTTATTTAATTCAGTCACGAAAATGCGGAATTTACCTGAACTGGCTGTATCAGAACTAGTTACAAAGCCAATGCCCTTGCAGGAATTAAGAAAGTGGGACATATTTAACACTATCGACGACAACTTGTTGCTAAATATTCGTCTCGCCCATGTCCACGGAACGTTTGGATTTTTAATAAGTACGGTGGACACTGCATACGTAATAGGCACCGGGACTGATGGATGTCTTGGAATCGGCCACATCACATCAGCGCTTTCACCTGTCAAAATTGACGTACTGACTGGACAATTAGTTAAAGGTAAGAGTACTGCCCAGAGTGATTAATGTGGGACTACCTTATTTGTCATTTAATTTGGGTTTATAACAAATGTTCAGAGACTTTCCCTATCTTATAAATGTTTTTAATAATAAGCTGATCGTCGCTGTTCGTGCAAAAGTTGTCTGTTTAAAACCCATTTGTTCTGCCCATTTTACGGATACTTTGGACTCAATCACAATTTGACAAGGTGGATTTTCTTCATTTTTATTAGACAACTTTCCCACTGTTTCCAAGTGGTCTTTCAGTCGACGACTTTTGCACCAACAGCGGCGCTATGTTACCAAAATAATATTTGCATCTCGTTTTTTTCAGAATTCGTTATCAGTGTGGAAGAGAGTTGTTTTGCACTAACAGAAGATGGACGAGTTTTCGCTTGGGGCTTCAATTCGAGTGGCCAACTCGGAATAGGAAATACTGCAACAATTACAACTCCTCAATTAATTCATGTCACTGGAGGCGTCAAAATTTCTCAACTCGCGGCAGGATACACTCACACGCTAGCTCTAGCAATGCACACTGGACAGGTTTTTGCATGGGGTTGGAATGGATATGGCCAACTTGGCCAGGAAAATTTCAACGATCGAAATGAACCTGGGAATGTTGAGTTAAACCCTGATATCAAAATTAAGCAAATTTCTTGCAGCGGTGACGGCTCGTTCGCTCTAACCCAATGTGGGGAAGTAAGGTTTTTATTCAGATTTAGTACGAATTAATTATTTACATTCACATTTTTATATTTTACGCAGTTGTACTCGTGGGGACATAATATTGGAGAATTAGGGATTGGCATCTCCACCCCGACCTACATACCAACCAAAGTTATCTTTCACAAACCGATAAAAAAGGTAAGAACATCGCAAAAATTAAAATGCAAATGTGATCATTTAATTTGCATTAAATTTATAAATTATATATACATGTTCAAAAAATGTTTATTCATTCAAACTTCATTCATTCAAAGCCTTGAAAACAATATTCATTCCTTATTAACTCAATCATAATTTGTAAAAAATATTCATTAATTATTCAACATTTATTCATTATTCACGATTCCTTCATTATTCATTTTATGCAAAATTCACAGCATTAGATGAATTTCTCAACCCTCCCTATGTATTAAGCATTGAGCAAAAAATGAATGATGAAAAAAAATATTCATTCATTATTCATCCACACGAATTGAACAGATACATATTCCTTCAATGTTCCTTTATTAAAAATCAGAATAAAATATTCATTCAATTATTGAATATTGAATGAATAATTTATTCATTCATTATTACATGAATGAATGTGAACATCTATGATTTAAATACTTTCATAGGTTTCCAATGGGGCGAATCACACCCTTGTTCTCACCACATCTGGGGAGCTGTATGCATGCGGTCGTAATGCGGAAGGACAATTGGGCATGGGAAAAACAACAGATGTGAATGTGCTGACCAGGGTGGCAGCAGATTTAGGAATTATTGATGACATATCTAGCATACCGTGGATGCATCAAAGTTCAGCAAAATCAATGGACAAAACTTTCGTTTGGGGCGAAATTAATGAAGGACTGAACTATTATAGTCCGACAGAGTTCAAGTTGTTTAATATGTCACGCTCTACTTCCTTTCTTAAGGAGGAGGGACAATTTATGCATAAATCGATGTGTGGGTCAAACCGTACGTAAAGTGGGCTGACCACTGGAAACTGCTATGGTGCAATAAAAATCATTGTCAATAAATCAATAAACACGACGAGAATTACTTCAATTTTTTTAAATAAAAATAAAACTTGTCCAGATATTTACAAAACTAAAACTTAACTGCGCATATTTTTTGAACATAGTGTCAAACATTTGTAAAACTATCTTTGTTAAAAATATTCAATGAAAAGAACCAAAAATCACCATATTAGTTTCACAAAATAAGGATTGATTCATACTTCGTGGCACGATTTGAAAAGGCGTTCATTACTAAACGATGCTTTGAAATATTAGCAGTGCCATGATTTATGAATCAACCCTTACATGAATTTATTTTTATTGGATTTTTGGATAGAAAGATACTTCCACTTCGTCATATAATTTTGAGTATTGGAACACTTGGATAGTTCCGTACAACCAAGAATCCACCAGTTCAATGTAATGTGGTAAATTGTCCATTTTTGGGAACCGATTCAATAAGGCTGTTCTCATTGCGAGGTAGTCCGATACGTTTGCGCTGAGAATAAAAAAATCGGGTTGTGGGCCTCGATTTACGATTTCATAATTCTTAAGGTAAGGGACGTTCATAAATTATGTAACACAAAAATCACGATTTTCTAGACTCCCCGTTCCCCCACTTGCGTAACACAATTTATGAACGGCCCCTTACTATCTACATAAAGATATCCGATCTTACTTGAATCTCTTGATCTCACTCTGAAGTACGCGTACTATCGATTCTCCACCCAATATTCGCATCATTACGATGTCCGTAGCATCTCCGTTCTTGACGTCTTTTTGTACCCCCAAAATATCATTGATCATGCCCCCGATTTCACCCGCGATCTGCATCCATCTCTTAAAGTAAACACTTTCCCGGACAGAATCATCCAACTGTAGTTCCTCCAAAGTGAACATTACTTCTGGGTAGATGGCGAGGGCGATATTCTATAAAAATAAATAATTTTTTGCCTGGCATCAAACAATGAAATCATAAAATTATCGAAAGTTATGAAACAGTGGAGCGGTAAAAACACGAGAAGTTGCAGGTAAAACACATAAATATGTATCCACTAAATGACGTTGACTTAATTCGTCCGATTGGTTTTTGGAACTCGACACAAGTTTACAAAAAATGGCACAAAGTAAAAAGAAAGGTGGAAAAGGCATGATTAATATAAATTTCGAAAAGACTAATTAGCAGTTTGCTTTTAAGAATAAAATACCTCTAAATATTCGCCAGTTTTTATGTGCAAGTTTTCGAATACTGATAGGAGAAATCGGACGAATTAAATCAACACCCTTTATTTAACATTTCGAGCTTTACCAGTCCTCTAAAAAATCGGTTGGTATATTTTGAATATACTCCTTTCTTCTGTTCCGATTTTTCCCAAAGAAACGCTTCCGCGAGTCGCTTAACTTCCTGGTCCATCACGGTTCTATCCTTGTCTCGGAATTCGTCAAATATGTTAATAAATTCTTTTACAATTACGGCATACAGTGGATTTTCCAACATCAGCTGAACTGCTGCCATCTTGCCGCTTTGGTCGTTCTCTTTGTTTCCTATTCAACAAAATATGCATAGATAAATTGTCATTAAAATATTTTAGTGTTGCCAATGAGTTGTAAATTAGTCGGTGATGAGTTCACCCTAAGTGCAGTATGTACAAATAATCATCAACTTGTGCATACATCATTGAATTACTAATCATTTTTGGACTCCCAGATAAATTTACATAGGATACGATGGCATAAACTGAAACGAAATAAAAATTGTAGATTAAAAATTCCAGCTGATCTTCGACTTATTTCTGGCTCATAAACTGCTTGGTCACGAAATCCCCCTTCTTGCGTTACGAACGGTCCCTCATCAGCACCACTTCAAATATAAATTTACAGAAATTTGGGAACTCACCATCATCCCGCTTTTTATCCGCGGACGGATAAAAATCCAAGAATGCTTTAAACGACTCTCCACTACTCCCACAATCCGTTTCTTTCTTAAACCCTCGCTGATTATCGACAATAAAATCCCAAATAATCCCTGGAAACAATAACTGAAGAATGATTGACATAATTTCGTTCTGCGGGGGTACACTAGGAAGTGTCCATCTCGCATAAGAAAGTGCGTGTTGGGCGGCTTCCTCCAAAAATTCTGGCTGTAATGCGACAGAATACGAATCTTTAAACGACTCAATCCTGTCTTTGTACAAGTCTTGAAATAGTTCGTCCTCCACTGCATCATTTCCGGTTCGGTGAACACGAGGAATGAAGAAATTAAGATTTATGCTCAACTCAGAAATGCCTTTGAAAGCGTCTTTAACCTTTAAAAAGAGTAAAAATAAATCAACAATCAATCAATCAATTGACTACTTTGTACACTCTTAAAAATAATGTTACCCTTCTAAAAAGTAAATTCACCCTTAATTTTGTATTCAGTAATTTAAACTAAATCCAGCCTAAACTTTACTCTTTATTAAGATAACGATGCTCTAAATGGTTTATGTATTTAATTAATTTGAAATTTAGAGTGCATTTACTTTTCAAAATGGGAAACTATTTTTAAGAGTGTAGCTGTACCGAAATTGTATTAAAAGCAGTAAAAAAACATACCATGCTTGGAAGATTCTCGTTGATACTCGCAAACCTTAATTTTGTATGAACATCCACCACTTTTAAGTCAAGATTTAAAGTTTCATTGTTCTTTGATTCTTCCATTTTTGCGTATTAAAACTAGATACTTTCAATTTTATGTAGTGTGCAAAATACGGACAAATGTGCACACAGTTGGCTTGAGTTGAAATGTAAAGAATAAAATAACGAGCTGAAACTACTTTTACTTGAAGTGATGCGAAATTGTTGCTTTGTTTGGCCACTTAATTTCTCTTAATTTCATTTCGATTCCACTAAATTACGTAACAATTCTGTATTTTCACACGTGGCAAGCATATAATTTAATCTCCGTATGTATCAGTAATTCCAATCCAATGTCGACTGAGGTGAATATGTAGGAAATTTTCTACGTGGAGAAGAAATTCTGCACAAATTATAGACAACAAATTGCTGTGGATTTCATAGTACCTATTCCGAATTTTCCGAATTATTGTTGATGGAACAAATTTTTTGTGTAAAAACGTGTTATGGATGAGTATTGTGCAATGGCGTTTATGTATTTATTGTATAAGACAAAAGTCAAAAGGTACATAAATCCTTACACGTGGCAGTCATCTAAATTACATGACACAATGTAATCTAAACGTCGTATCAGTAATTCCCACGTAAAGCCTCGTAGGATAATTTAAGAATGCCTGAATATTAAAAAAAATCTGTTATTTGCGTACATCTAATTGCTCTAGATTTTATTATGTCGTATAACATATATATATATATATGTACTTATGTATGTACATCTTATACATGTACGAGCAGGAAATCCCATATTCATGTTGTTTTCCTGAAATCAATTAAGTAATTATAAATATTTCTTACATATGACATAATCATGGAGGGTATTTTAATAAGCGTAATTATGATACGGATCTCTACACATACACAGTGCCGGTGTTTTTAATGCCAACTATATAACAACAATAACACGTGGCACAAAAAAAATATTTTTACGAGTTTGTTCTTAAGGTTAGGGGTTTTTAATATGCAACTGCTTTGTAGTCAGCTGTCCCTACGTGTAATGTGTTTGATATGATAACGTGTGTGCAATTATAATGTAAAAATAAAAACAACCTTTACTTTAAAAAAATATTTATTTTGGAGCAGACGGGAGATAAAGCTCTAAAAATGTTCACCCAATTTGAAGATCTTGTTTTTATTATGTGTGTAATACGCACAAAATTTATTCCGAATGGTGTGTCAATATTGATATGAGTACATATTTATCAATAAAATTTACTAGATACATAGGTGAAAACAAAATTCCACAAATTCGACTCATTCCATATATGTACATGCAAGCAATGTAGCGCAATATCGTACATACATATGTAATGATTTAATTTTGCAAATTTATTTATAATCAACGATTTAGTCAAAAATAATTTGATAAGATACAATTTCTTGTGTATTCTTGGTTCACCAATTCCTTACAAAGTTACATATTCACCCAATAATTTCCATCAGCTTGGTGATATCCATATCGCTCCCGAGCACGATCAAGTGTTAGTAGTATTTATACTACCATTGCTTACTTTTGCCACCGTAATCGATGTCCTAATGTTATTAACATTGGTAATTATGCAATTGCGTCATAATTATTGAACCGGTTTTTGGTGGTTACTCATGCTCATCCCGTGATCACTCTTCCGTGACCCCCTTTGATTGTGGGTTGTGATATGTTTGGGTGGTATAAGTGTACGGGGGTGTGGTGCTGGCGCTATGCGCTGGTGCTCCGCCCGTGCGCCTGATTCGGCAACGTATGCATTAAAATATTATAAAATACCAAAAGTTCTATTGAAATACAATTAAATACTATGTATTGAAATACATTTTTATTAATAAGAAGTGTGTCCACCACAACGTTTATCTGGCAATTTCATGTTGCAAATCTTCCGCCGTCGAAAAGCCAAGTCATTGCAAATTTTACCTGGAATTATTGGTATTATATCATATAATTCTTGCAGTCCAGGTTCATTAATAATAATTCTTCTCAGAAGCTGCTTGGTTCGGCATAAATTACGCCCAAGTTTTGCAGTCATGGTCTCCTACGGATCAAAAAATTACTATATTATAATACTCTGTTTACTGCGAATGCATCTCACTTTTAGAATTGACGATGTGTCGTTCTTTAAGAAATCAAGAATTATATGATCAAGTATAGGCAGGGCGGTGTTAGTCATCTCTGTCGACGCACAGGAAGGTATATTCACCATTGGCACATTGGTATTGCCTGATAGAGGAATGATTTTTGCCGTCGTTGTTGCAAGGAGTGTTGACGCTGCTGCTGTCGTCACCTCTGCAGTCGACGGCGTGGTACTCATTAATATAAACTCCGTACTTATTGGAACGGTGGGTGGATTTTCTACCGCTACCTCGGTGGTCGCAGGGAGTGGTGAGGCTGCTGTTGCTGTCGTCGTCATTACAGTCGGCGCCATAGTGCTCATTAGTATAACCTCTGTACTTATTGGAAAGGTGGGTACATTTTCTACCGCTATCTCTGTGGTCACAGGGAGTGGGGTGGTGGTTGATTGGAGGATTTTAACAAGTGCCGGGGAAGAGTTTCCAACAACTGCATCAAGCTCGAGACGACTTTTTTCTGAATCAAGTGGTAATGTGATTCTTTTTGCCAAAAAGTCTGTAAAAATGTACAAATTTGATGAGCAATCAGACTATTCTTGTATCTTTAGTAATTTTCACATGCTTATCATGATCTAACCATACCTCTCAAGTATTGCTTGCACCTTCTTTCACTTCTATAAACAATGTTCACATGGGTGCCCATCGATTCAGCCTTAGGTATGCAGGTCGGTCCGACACGGTCCAGGAGAGCAAAAACACATGCTGCATCCGGTTGTTGAATACAGACGATGCAATCAGTGACCAATTTACGTGCACGTATAACTTCACCGGACATGAAGAGTATAATAAACCTGGTAATTAACATTTTAATTTGAAAAATGTGAAACTTTGTCTAAAAAATATCAGTGTGATAAGAAAATGTGAGTACGTTCTGCTGGTTGCTCATCATCTGCAAAGAATTGGGATGGGCTTATTGCTGACTACGAAGGAGTCTAATTACATATAGCTTGAATTCTGCCGAGCTGTATATAAAGTGCATCAATAAGCGAAAACATTTACATTATACATCTTACCGGCCAGCCAAATTAACCATGGATAAAACTACAATTGTTCTGGGTTATGGACTCGACCCGGCCGACCTGGCCACCATAGTGGAAACTTTGATTAGGGCGACCGGGTCATCCCCACGTCAACCTGATCATGGCCTGTGTCAAGATAAAACGGTGTGGTTTTATAGCACTGCCGACTACGACAAAATCCTAAAATTTTGTAAGAAAAAATACCCTGAAGTTCAGGTATTTCAGAAGATCACGCAAATCTGGGGGCAAGAAAAGGCCATCATTTTAACTTCAAATATATTGAAGGATGTAAAACCAAATGAAATTATCCAACTTCTTGGAAAGTGCGAAAGCTTTCCCAGTCCCTGTGGCACGCAAATTAAGAATGGTAAGTTTTCAAATTGGTGAATATTTAATTGCCATTACATATTTAAATCGATATATTAGTACTGGTATATTACTTGTATTATACTTTTATCTTAATTCCAGGTTGTGTTCGAATTGTCTTCAGTCTTGGAGAGGAAGACAATCATTTGTCATCAGAGGAGTTCATTACGAAATTTCATCCTACTCTCACCCCTCAACAATTGCTGGCCTTGAAGAAGCACATCATCGATTGCGACTCGAATTTACTAGATAAATTTGTATGGCCAAAATAAATTTTTTCAACCAAAAACTACAAATTTCCAAATAATTAGAATTTAAGCACAATAAATTTGAGAGATTTGTAAAATTGAATAAATACATTGGTACTTAGTTGCACAAATAATTGCTGAACTATTTATTTTCATACTTTTGGTCTTTAAAGTTCACAAACTAACAAGTTAAAGAGGTGATGTTTACCAACTTTTCTCAAATGCAGTCTCAGACTTTCATAAAAAGACAGCCCGCGTAACTTAAATGCTCGTAAATGCTCATATTTTAGTTTGCAAAATAGAAAATTAAAAATCAAGTTTTAAATCCGTTAGTAAATAAACAACTTTAATAAAACGCAAATTGTAAAATGTAAGAGTTATAAATCTTTATTTAACATTTTGTCAACACCAAAAGTTTAATGATTACAACAAAATCCGAATTATATAGTTGACATTTAGCCAAGCTGGAATCATGGAGAAACTCCTTGCACGAGTCCCCTGCCTACTTGAGCATCACGGAGAAATTTCTTGCAGGAACCAACAAACATACGCATTTCCCCAATGAGTAGCCGCACCTACAAGTAAACAAACAAATTTAATTATAAATAAATTAGGCACACTTTAGTATTTAATTATATTACCATAGGTCCCTTCCAACCCCCAAATTTTGCAGATTGTTGCTCAGAAAACTTCACACCAAAAGACGACGGCCAAGGCTCCACCGCTACTCATAGCTCTAATCTTCATCTTGGAACCATACAAAGTTTTGGCGATGTCATCACTAATCCAGAAGTAATCATCATAGTAATCGGTAAGTCGACCGGCAGCAGTTTTCAATGATGGTAGTTCTTCGCCAATTTCCAGAATGTCGTGACTTTTGATTAATCCCTCGACAAAGTCTACAGACTGCTTCATCTCGCTTGCGTTCCAGCTCATGTAATTCTCCTTTTTTTTGGCGTTAGCACTTCTACGGAGTTGTTGGAGATACAGAAACCAGTTTTCGCGACGCTTATCATACTTGAATTTCAAAGAAATGTCCCCAAATTTAACAACACCGTCTCCCTCGAAAAATGACTTTTCTTTCCACTCGACGCATTCAATGTCATTCATGGGTAGCGTTGCACCATCCTCACTAATCCCACCTCCTACCCATTCTTCCAGGGTCTTGGCCTTCTTGGGAGTGGGGTCTTCCGTCAGAGGAGCAGATGGAGTAAATTGGCTTTGGGAATCCATTTCAAAGTTCAAAATTTTCGTTGAAAGTTCCTTGCTTGGTTTAATTAATTGAGGTTGGTATTTTCGTGTAGATTCTTCTTTGCTCATGGAGACAGAGTGAAATTTAACTAG